GCAAACGTGGGTTACGGTATACACCCTATGTTCCTTAACTTATAATCTTGTGTTTCTAAAAAGTCGTAGTCTAAGGGTTAAGGGATAAGCTGGCACAGTTCCCGAAGCAGAAGTCCTTGCTATTTGAAAAATTCCAGAGCTACTGGAAAGTGTCAATTGTGAAGGAAGATGTTTCTCTCATACGTTCGGGCCAAATTCCTTCCCGCCGAGTGATTGTGAGAGAGACTTTGTGCGCTTCGATGCAAAGCGCTCAACGTAGCCACGAGCATAGCATAAGGGAATCACTTTAATGAGACACATGTGCATAAATACACCCAAATAAAAACATACAGAGCTGACACAGGCGGAAGGGGGGAGGGAGAGAGACGTACAATTTTGAACTCGACACAGCGGACGCTTCACTTTGCCGAGCCCTTCTAGGAAGTGCCCTGTCTGTGAAAATCTCGCGAAACTGCAGCGTTGTGTAACAGCGGATTCCATGTGGACCGGAGTCAGTCGATAAGTATGCTCTGTCTCCTGTAATCCGATGTGCTTCCATATGCCCTTGATCCGGAACCATCTTGATCCAATGCCGCTGAACGTTAAATTCTGCTCTAACGACGTGGCTAGACACAGGAGTCTCTAAGCCAGTGAACTAATCATGGGCGTGTGTCAAGAGGCTCACTTTGTCGCGATCGCGCAGGAACGCATTTCTGACCCTGACGAGGATGAATTTCGGCATTTTGAAGCAACAGCCCAGTTTGGGTGGGGTAAAGTAGTCCACGAGTGTTACAGCGTGCCGTTGTCGACAATGGCGGTAATGCCTTACAAAGTGAGCTAATGACGACTAATGTGATGGATGAAATTCCTCGCGCGCACATTGGACAGAACCCCTATCCAATCCAGTACGCAACTTTCCTTATCTTCTCCACAGGAGTTATCGTGATAACTTCCTTTAATTTTAATAAATTGCTCACACTCTCAGGTTGGGCCCATAATTATAAGCGGTGCAAAAATTGAACAAAAGTTAAACAGATTTGGAAAAGATGGTGTTACCAAAAATTGGATATGGAGCTTATTTGAGCTGAGGAATTCCTTAAAGCAACAGTCCCAGCAGGGTGGGCGTGGTCGGAAACGGCTGCAATCCCCTCGGCCGATTCCCACTTCGGAGCTGTTCAGCCCCTAGTCAAGAACGTAAGAAGTGTGACTGAACAAAAACTCACCTTGGAAAGCCGCTAGGGAGGGAGCTGAAGTGGGCGTGGTCGGAATCGGCCGAGGGGATTGCAGTCGTTTCCGACCACGCCCACCCTGCTGGGACTGTTGCTTTAATGATCTGCGAAAATCTCCAACTGGTAGCTCTTATTCGAAACGCAAAGTTTGAGGTCAAGATCATTGTGAAACGCACTCTAATGTATACACCCCATCTCCTCCACAACCAGACATTATTCTCGTGAA